ACCAGTAAATGCAGTGCAAAAAAGTTTGTGCGTGATTACGCCTCAATATTGAATACTTTATGGCTAAATTAAAACGGCTGCAATGTGAGGTTTTAGTTCATGTAAAAAACAATTATCAAAAAAACTTCCATCAGGTTATCTGCAGGTTCATCTGAAGTCTGAATTTGATAGAACACTAAAACCAGTCATACACATTGAATTAATAAAGATATAGTATCAATTCTGTTCATTTTATTTCAGTTGCTGAAAGATAAAACCTTCCTGACGATCCTGCGAGCGAACTTTTTTGAATTTTCAAGAAGAATAAAGTTCAGTGTTCAGTTTTATCGTTTAACCACTGCTGCTTGCTTACACTAAATATCAGTAAAATCTCAGAATATTCATTGTTGTTAATGTGACCGAGTGGCCCTGTGAGTCAAACACTGTTGATTTAGAAACCTGACAGAATATTTAAAGGAAACTTTTTGGGTTTAAAGTTGCACTGCAAATTGAAATCTAAATGGCCAATGGAACAAAATAATTTACATTTAAAATTAGAATAAACAATTACATTGTCTTATATCAAGAGTATATCATCTAATTATCCTACTTTAACAGTAAAAATACTTAATTCTATTGGCAAGTCATCTTATTTACCTAGTCAAATTATGGGTAAATACACTTAATTTAATAATGTTTACTTATTTTTAGACAACTTTGCAGTGAAGACAGTTAATTTAGATGAACTGCCAAATTAGAGGTGTTGTGAAGTCCTGCTTTTATCATTAAAGTCAGTAAGCAAAAGTTAAATCTTCTGTCCTGGCAGCTATCTGAAACGGCGATCCATGCTTTGATTTTGCCTCGCCTAGATTGCTATAATTGACTTCACGTTGGAGTGAGTCAGTCTTCACTCTCATCTTCAGTTGGTTTAAAATGCTGCTGCACATCTTTGAACTGCTGTTCCAGAAACTAAGCAAATAATCACCTTTCTGGCCTCACTCCTATGTCTGTCTGTGTATTTCAGAATTCATTTTAAATTTCTTATTTTTGTTTTAAATGTTTAAATAATCTCACCCTACTGTATTTCTCTAAGCTGTACTATGTCCCTACTCATTCTCTCTGCCCCTCAGGTGGGCTGAACAGCAGCTCCTGCAGGTACCAAGATCTAGGAGGAAGCTCAGAGAGGGCAGAGCCTCCCTATTGCTTGTTTAGGCTTTTCTGGTTTTATTGTGTTTGATCTTACACTGAACCTATGTAATATTTATGTTTATACATTGCAGTTTTGTGTAGCAGTTTATCCCTCCTGTAATTGCTTTAAAATCCTGCATATAAACTAAGTTAGGTATAGTATGACAGGGATTCCTAAAGTAACATGCCCCCAGAGGGTGGAGCAGACTCCTAGGGTGGTGAGGAGGTCCATTTTTTTAATCATTGGGCCTCATGCAACAGTTTCGTTATCTTGTTGTACATTTCTCTTACTTTTTCTCCTACTGTGGGCTTTTACAAACACACAGCATCAGATTCAACAAACATTCTTCAGTAAAATATTGTAAATGATCCTCAGAAACCTGATGCAGTCCACCTGCGTAAGTGAGCGCTCGTTCCAGAGGAATGTAAACCTGCATCATTACTGCCCCGACATAAGGCTATGACTTCCAGCACTTAAAGGTGTTCAGTCACAGAGATGACTTTGAAGACGAGAAAGAAAAATTTTAAAGGTTCGGAGATTGAGATTCTACTGACTGAGAGCTTGGCAGCAGAATTAAAGCACCAGTAAAAGCCGAGCAGTGGAGAGAGCTGTAAATGATGTGGTTGCACTTACAAAAGTTAGATAAAAAAAAAAAAATGAATAAAAAAATAAATAATTTAATCCTAAAACTGTAGATGAAAAATATTGATGGAGGCAAGAGATGCAACATATAATGTAAATGTTTAATAGGAGTTCTCCATCACACAGCAAGACAACATTCTGCTTGATCTCCTTTTAATACACACAAACACCTGTACTGCACATCTCTAGAACACATCTGTCATCCCTTCATCATGCTCTCCATCTCTCTCATGCATAAAAATAAAATGCTGACTGGGAAACTCTAATCTGATCATTTCAGACAGACTCAATCATTCCACATCTTATGTAATTACGAAGCCAAGGCAGCGCCATGGAGTGAAATGAATACAAGTCTTACCATTAGAGGAGTTTCCAGCAGCAACACATTGCTGAACTTTCTATCCATTTTCTGTTCCAAATGTTATTTTAATAGTAGCTTGATCTCAAATAGAGCTCACTGACTGTTCTTTCTTTTGACAAAATTACAACAAATTAAACTAGAGTCCCCTGCATACCGACATGCCAGCTGCAGGTGTAATAACCCATAGGTCTGTCATCACTGAATAAAAAGGTAATTTATTATTGCAGGGTTGCACAATATATAATAATGTAGTCTAATAAAATTGACAATTGTTTCTAAGTGACAACAAATATCATTTAGAGAAAAACTAGGTTGGGATAAGAGCTAACTGATTGCGCAACACTCCTACATCAAGTCTGGAGCACTCATATAATTTGTTTGTTCCTGAGAGAAGATTATAAATAGGAGAAAAATGGTGATTATGACATTTTCTCCTAAATCACGCATATGAACAGTTTAAGAACTAATTTGTTTATACCAATGGTTTTTGCATGAGACCCAATGTGTTGTGACCCCTGAGGCCTATGGAGAGCCAAAAGGGACAAAATGAAATAAATATCCCACTAAATACATAATTGTACTATTTATTTTGTTATCTATACATTTAAGAACATATTTTAAAAATGAAAAACTAAAATAATATTATATTAAGTAAACCATAAAATAATGAAATGTGTAAATATTTTATAAAAACTGAAGTAATGTCACAGTACATACAGTTATTTCACTATGTTTATAATATAAATTAATACAATGAAATGATATATAACAAAGGAGCCGTTTGTCTTTCCCAGCATCTCTCTCTGTCAATTTTAAGACCAAACATTAATCACGCCTGTGGACAGCATAAACAGTTGCTGCCCTGAACTGTTTTACAGGTCATAGAAAAACCTCCCACGCCCAGATTAATTTGATTTATCAACTTGGAGGAAAATGCTGAACGCTTTAAAGCTTAAGCTTCTTACGGCACATTAAAGCCATGTCCCGTGTGTTTTCCAACATGAGAACTGCACTATGCTTTCTTTTATACACACATACAGATTGAGACATTAGAGAGGAGGAAAAGCTGAAATCTAAAAGACAGATTAATAATCCCACAGTGGGATTACCAAAGGGCACCTCTCAAGGTTTTATGGCTGAATAGATCACAGAAATCTCCCTCTGCCAAAGTTTAGGGGTTTTATTTTGTGGTAAGATAAAATCATCATGTCTGGCTCTCCTGGGAGTTAGAAAAAGAAAAATCACTACTTGTACCAGGAGAGTTGACTTATTCTATGAAGCTCATGATTTGAAGCATTTTGACTGGGGACCTGGAGACTAATGCTTACTCTGCCGATCAGGGTCAACTGCTGAAATGGTGAGTTTGTCACATAAATCTCAGCCACCAGTTGAACTGAAGGCTGAAAAGAAGCTCAGACATCTTAATCAAACCAAACATTTATATGTGTATATTATAATTACTTTCTGACAGAAAAACACAGTTGAGCCACATCCAAAAGCATCAAATTCAATGATGCTAATGTGGTAATAATATATCTAAAAGCTTTGATATTACCAAGCTGATACGAAAACTCTGCTTCTACTCATATGTGTTTAGAGTTTATGTCAGAAATGGTTTTGGAGAAAAGTCCGGTGAAGGAGCTTATATAGCACATTGGTTTATAACAAATGGGTCTGTAATTCTCATACCCAATGTTGTTGAATCTTATTTTCAACTACAGTAATATTACTTTAAGCCTTTTCTGACATGTTGCACTAAAAAAAAAAAGTGATAAAAATACGTCTGATTAGTGCTGATATATCAGATCAATATTGGTATTGGTTAACGATCAAAGCTACAATATTGGTATCGTATCAGAAACATACAAGTTTTATTGGAACATCCCTACTTTTTGCTAATTACAGCATATATTAGGCTTTTATCAACTGATTTTTTCCAGATAGCTTTTCAAAGTATTTTGTGCCATTCTCTTGTAATGGAGCAAGATAAAGTTCTATATTTTGGATAGATCTAGAATATATATCTTATATATAACATGTACAGGATATATATATATATATATATATATATATATATATATATATATATATACTGAACTGTGAGTGATCTAGAAATATGGATCATGACAGAAACAACTGTACCCCAGATAACAACAAGGAAAGGAACTTACTGTGTCAGAAGGCTGAAATTGGGAATAAAGGAATAAAGTGAGGAGTCCTACGTTGTTGGGCAGTGGTTTTCAAACTTTCTTACATAGTGTGACAAAATATCAATGAAGTCATTGTAAGAGGAAAAATAGTTCTTAAATAATCAAAGCCAATGCTAAATACTAAATAAGTATTAAATTAATTTATGATAATATATGTTATTATGAAATAAATGATATGACAAAAAGAACTGCAAATGATAGGTCCCTTGGACCAGTTTTATTTTTTAATTTCTACATTTTGATGTTAAAAATGAGATTTCTGCACTTTCAGCTTCAGGTGTATTGAGATATGATCACTGTTTTCATATTCTATATCTGAGATTTCCAGACCAGCTTGTGGCTCTTAGGTTCACTTAATATATCAAACGATGATTAATTATGTTTTTTGCTCCATTCTTTACTTAGAATTACCTCCAATTTACTAGGAAAGTGAAACGAAAATCTTATATTCAGGACAATTTTTTGCTGTTAAATTGTATTGATTGCATATGTTTGTTCAAAATATATGCAGCATTCGGTTAAAATACATGTATTCCATCAAACAAACTACAAACATATAGATGTAAAGGTGTAATGAACTCATCTTATGATGAAACATTTTTTCATGTTTTATGTCCAGGAGACACTGATGGAGCTGCTGTTTGACGCAGTGGTGTCGTCCATGCGACAGGGAAAGGGTCTGGTTGTCAGTGGCTTCCCCAGAGACCTGAGGCAGGCGGAGGAGTACGAGGCCAAGGCAAGGCGGTGCACACACTGACATGTGGTCAGAAACATCAATAAAAGATAGGAAAGTCAGACGCAAGTTATATATTGGACCAAAAAGAAGGAAAGCGAATGATTCAGCCTTACAGCACAGTCAGACCCAAAGCTGTGAATACAAGATATTCTAATATTTTTATAAGAATAAGAAACCTGATAGAAATAAGATGTTCACAACGAGGTATTGTTATATGAAACAAGCTGAGCATTCGCTGTACAGATCCACTGAGATGTTTTCAGCTTTGTGCTCTGCTGTGGGATCAGATGGGGGAACCGAGTGCCGTGGTCCTGCTGAGCTGTTCTCCAGAGACCATGTCCAGCAGGATGCAGAACCGCAGGAGATCCTCCTCCTCCTCCGACAGGGAGAACGCCCTGCAGAAGAGGGCCCAGAACTTCTGCAGCGATGTCCAGGCCGTCATAGCTTACTATGAACGCAAAACCCTGCTCCAAACGGTAAGCCAGGTTGAGGGTTCAATTCCTTGTTTCTCCACTTAAAATCCAATATGTGCTATTTAAAACTGTTTTGTTCCAACACGATGGCTTATTTCTGCATCAGCTGATCCATTCCAATAATGGCCAATACTGGTATTTTATTCCGCTTATCAAACATTCATTAATATTTCAGTAAACTGTTTTAAGGGTTTTGATTAAATAAAATAAATACATTTGGCTGTTTATTACATTTATTCCAAGATACTGACAGCCTATCGTTTGGGGTTAAAAAAAAAAATAACACACCCAGAGTTACAAACCTAATTAAATTTTAGATTTTATTCAGATCAAGATTGCAAGGTAGATGGGTGTATCTGAAGAGTTCCTTATGTTTACAGATTGGTGTTTTGTTTCCGTTTGTGAGAGCAAAAAGAGGCAGCTATCCAACCAATACAGCAGCAAACCCAATTTAGGCTATCAATTTTTTTAGTTAGAAAGTTATTCCTTAAAGCTAACATACCACACTCCATTCCTTTTAGTCGCAGTGCCCTGAAACTGTTAGTGGATTCCTTGGCCCAGCACATCTGCTAATCATCTAATAATATCATTCAGTCGTGTTGAGGCAGATGAACACAGAAAAGCTGGAGAACACCAGCCCTGAGGGACTTAAGTTTGACATAAATGTTTAATGGAAATCTTTAACGAATTTTACATTTTCTCAGATCTATCTTGACAGGGCATAAATACCATTGACTTAAAGTAGAAGGTTTATATGGATATCTTTTGTGAAGCTAAAACTTTAAACCATTAATTTTATGAAAGGAAATCTGTTTGTGGATGAAGAATAAAGGGGGATATTCTACTTTATTAGAAATGCTACTGAGGTCAGTTTTTTGCACAGACAGAAGAGTCGCCACCGACTGTTTTTTGTAATTATTTTGTTATTTAGATAGACAGATTTCCATCACATTCATTAATTACTCTCTATTAACTCTCTACCACCCCAACTTCGAAATACGGACTCAATTCTCCGTTTTAAAATGCAACTCAAAACCCATCTGTTCAAGATTGCTTATTCTCTTTAAAAATATCAATTTCACTGTCACAGCCTCTGTATTTTTTAAATGTTTGTAAATGTCTTTATAATTAGTATTTTTATTTTTTCTGACACTTTTTATGTTTTTGTACGGTGACCTTGAGTGTCCAGAAAGGCGCCTTTTTAAATAAAATGTATTATTATTATTATTATTATTATAATTAAAGTTTTACTCATTTAAGGTCCAAGCAATTTGGTTCATACTGCTTTTCTTGTATTTTCTTTTACAGACTATTGCTAATTTTAGTTTTGAACGGTAACAAAAATGAACAGAATTGAACAATAATTGGGATTGCACCACCTGGAGCAATAAAAACCACAACAACATAAAAGAGCAGGACACATAATTCACAAGAACAATCAAATGAAGTCGGATCTAATTGTTTTATATACTCTGTCCATTTGGTCCAGATCTTATCAAATTTGCCCTTTTCAACTTGGAGGGGAAAAAAATCTTTTCCATGGCATAAATCTGGTGAAAAATTTCAATCAGTTCATCGATTGTGGGTGGATCTGGTTTTAGCCATTTCCTTGTGATGGCTGCCAGTAGTAAAGACCAGCAGTTTTATTCCATCCATTTTCTAACACGCTTAATCCCAAGTGGGGTTGCGAGTGGTGCTGGTGCCTATCTCCAGCAGTCAATGGGCGAGAGGCGGGGTACACCCTGGACAGGTTGCCAGTCCATCACAGGGCAACACAGAGACAAACAGGACATACAACCATTCACGCACACACACACCTAAAGAGAATTTAGAGAACACTGCAAAAACGATCTAGAAATAAGTAAAAATTTCTTAAATTAAGTGTATTTATCCTTAATTTGAGCAGGTTAATGAGATAGGTTGCAAATGGAATGAGTATTTTTACTCTTAAAATAAGATAATTAGATAATATGCACTTGAAATAAGACAATGCAATTGTGTTTTCTTATTTTAAGTGTAAATGGTCTTGTTCCATTGGCAAAATGTCTCTTTTACCTCATCAATTCAAGAACAAATGCACCTATTTTAAGAAAAAAAATGACTTATCTAGATTTAGATTTTTTGCAGTGAAGCCAATTAACCTAACAGTCATGTTTTTGAACTGTTGGAGGAAGCCGGAGTACCCGGAGAAAACACACGCATGACCCTTGGCCAGGAACTGAACCCAGAACCTTCTTGCTGCAAGGCAGCAGTGCTACTCACTGCGCCACTGAGCAGCCTGCAGTTTTACTCCTTATTCTAAATATAAGTTGCCCAAGTACAACGTTTCACATTTGAATGGAATTTTTACATTGAATATATTTTCAGTGTTTGTGGAACTCTTCCCAATATGGTTTTATTACCTGGCAGTCACCACCTACTGGTTATAGTGGGACTTACACTGTGTTGCCTTCCTGTTCTCCTTCACCAAAGCTTTATTTCTAATGGCATTCATTTCTAGCTTTCGACTTTCTTCATATATATATATATATATATATATATATATATATATATATATATATCCAACATATAAGCCGTTCTCTATCATCTCCACACCACAGTTGGATAATTGGGGATATTATTGCTACTTTAAAAGTCAGCGCTGACCTTAAAGGCAATGCCTGACTCACTGCCGGCTTCACAAACCTCCCTGATGTTCCCAGTAACATGAGGGCAAATCAGAAATCCCAGACCTTCTGTTTGCAGATGAGCCGCTGCTCTATAAATGAGCTGAATGTTTCAAATGCCACATCGGAAAGGTGTATGCATGCGTGTGTGCAAGTATTTAAATGCCACGACTGGTATTGAGGCCACCAGTTCTAAGCGCTGCAGCTATAATCGTTGTCCTGAGCCCTCTGTAGAGACACTGATAGGCTTCTGTTTGTCTCTGTCTGCAGATCGACGCCGAGCGTTCGCCACATGAGGTGTTTGCCCAGATCTGCCGAGCCTTAGAGTCATCTGCCACCTACTAATTCTCATCATTTCCACCCTGATGCTCACCAGCCCCACCGTTGAAGAAGCCCCACCCCTTTCCATTACCTCCACAACTCCCTCACACCTGCACCAGCTTATTGAACTTATGTGGTATGCATGCCTCACCTGCAGTCAGTTAAACCCTATCCACTTCATTTTGCTTGGCCCCACCCCAGATCTTACATTAACCTCAGTTTATGCTGCCAACTGAACGAGGCTCAACTGTACAGATAAAACAGCTTTCCCTGCTGCCACTGAGAGCACGCCGGACGTTTCCACCAAAGGCAAAGCAAGACAGACGAAACGTCAGCGTGTTTCCATCCCCGTGCTCAGCACTTTGCTTTGTATCGTAACAAGCATGCAGCTCTAACAGTTTAAAGCTTAAAACTGCCTTTCTAGCATTAAATAAAAAGCAGCGGCGCTTTAAGAGTATTAGGATTACCGCATTTGTATGTTTTAAAAGCTCATTGTACTGATTTTTGTTTGAGTGGTATCTGACATTCCAATAAAGCCAATGCATTTGTTTAATGGAGTATTTCTGAGTGTTTGGTGTGCCTCCTCTAGTGTCATGATGTGGCAGCTCCATCTGCTGGTGAGAAGATGACAGCAGAAAAAGCATGTGAAGATATTCCCAGTGCAGCCCTGGAAGAGTCAGAGTCCCAGTTAAACAAGGATAAAGGAGTCATTAACACAGAAAAATAGTCTCCATCACCCTACTTCCACTTTAAGCTGGATACAAAGATTTTGGAATTTCTTTTTTTATATCTCTAGATGTTTCTACAGTTAAACATTAAACAGTTTGTGCCTTTTTTTTAAAGATTTTTTTGTTATAAAATGTACAAACTCAATATTTAAACCTTCAGATTTCCTACTTTTATTTTTTTCATTGGTACGTATGGAAAAGATAATGGAGTAAAAAGTGATTTTACACAGATTTATGTTAAATGTTAATTCATTGCCTTTGATTTGCCACATCAAATGTTAGTTCAATCAGATCGTTTTTGTTTTGTTGTCCTCTTACTGACAGAATACACAGCAAAACAAATGTTGAGCAATGTTTAGTCAAACGTCAGTTTTGTCTGGATAATTACATATGATAGGACGAAGCTGAAACTTTCAAATATATAGAAATACACTAAATCGGGGGTCAAACAACCTTTAAAATCCTCAGACAATTTTTTTCCCTCAGTTCAGCTGTAAAAATAAAAAAATCAACAAGAGCCACAAGGATTGATGACTTAAAAAATGATAGAAAAATAGATACATTTTTGGATGAATATCTGCCAAAAGAAATGTATCATAATTAAAGGACCTCAGTTGTTCCTTAAAGACATAAAACCAGATTTTTCTATGATAGGATGTGAATATTTGCAGAAAATGATGTAAAGAAAAAGTACCTATTTTCTAACCTGATGCATGAAAAAAAACAAAAGGAACTAAGACATAACTGGTACCAGAAGGTCTTAAGAGCCACAGGTTTCAGACCCCTGTGCACTATGCTTTACCCAAATACATGACAAGTAACCAGGTTTCCTATAATTTATTTTCATCATTATGTATATGACAAAGAAGAAATCCCAAAAAGTACAACTCTGATGGGACTTGGAACAACAACCTTTTTTTTTTAACTGTACTAGTGGCTGTTTCATGGACAGTAGGCTGACAGGAAAGGAGGTATGAGAGAGGGGGTGAGAAATGCTGGAAAGGACCACAGGCCGGATTCCAACCCGGGTCGCCTGCGTCGAGGACTAAGGCCTCCATACATGGGTCGTGTTCACTAACCACTGTGCCACTAAAGCACGCCCCGGACCGACAATCTTTAAATTAAACCCTTTGCCTGGAAGTCCAGTGCACTGCACCACAGAGCCCAATGAAGTGCTTTGTTTGGTTGCCTGTTTCTTACCTTTAGGTCAATGAAGACTATGAGGTAAAAAGATGTAGAGAAATCCTTTGAGTTTGTTCTTGAAGATATAGATACACTAGATTTAAATAATCTAAAGCTAAACTGCCTCATAGGAATTTAAATGTTTTAATAACTTGTTTTCACTGTCTGCATATGGTTAAAATTCTGCATCATTTAGGATAGAGACTGAAACTTCTATCCTAAAACCTTTAGATGCAGCCTGTGTCAAACACACCTGAACCAAATGAAGGGTTCATTAGCAGGTGTTTGCAGAGCTGCATGACTCATGCTGAAGAGGAGATTCTGCTGTTGGGTTCAAGTGTATTAGAGAAGGGACACTTTGGCTTAGGACAGGGGTCCTGGTAGCTGCTTCATTGGTACAAGGAAGGGTTACCCATACTGACCTATGACAGGAGGAGTCAGCATTTTTCCATTTAAAAATTCTATAAATGCAAATTTAATTCAAAAAGAAGGGTAAAAATGTCAAACTTAGCCCACTGGTGAGTTTGGGTGTTTTCAGAAGACGCAGAGGGAACTCCATGTGGTCTTTGAGGGGCCCTTGGTGCCATGGGGAAGGCTTTGGTGGACCCTGGCTTACTGTAGGATAATCCCTTCCGTATTTGACCAATCAGGCATTTAGTCTATGTTCCACATAAGTAGTGGCCAGAAATCGGAAGCCAATTTGTGTCATTTGTGAAAACTGCAAATAAATAACAAATAAGACTTAAAATTGTCCAGAATTCTATAAAAAAAATGCTGAAAAAGATCAGTCTGAAGAATTTATTTTGTAAACCATTAGATCCCTAATCATTTCTATACTGCAACCTGACTCTGTATTTTACCTTGTAGACTTGGACCTGACAGATGCTGACCTATTAAAGGGTTTATATATATATACATATATATATATATATATATGCCCAAAAATCAACTTTTTTTTACTTGCATGGATTGTCATACATGCAAAATTAACACTGACTAAAGTTTGGTCTAAAGGCCTGCATTGAAAAAATTACAATTCACTAAAATAACCTTTAATTCTGATGGTACAATGTTATAAACAACTAAGTTGCTATGAATTGATTTTTTTTTATATGAATTTCAGTTTATGCAATAATTCTCTTTAAAGTTATGTTAGTGTTAAAAAACTAGTGTTTCCACAGCAGAAAGATTTTTTTTTTTTTTTCATTCCACCTGGGGAGACCAAATCTACTAAAAGTGGATGAAACTGTCCTCTAAAAAGTGTCCTGGTAGTGACGTAGGACATTTTAGATTAAACCTGAACTAAAGAAGGAGCCGGATGGAAGGATGCTAAGCATTTCTTACTGACTGACCAAAAAGGATTTAAAAATAAAAGCAACTCAGCTTGTCGGTGTGGTACAGGAGCTAGACAACACAGGAGAGCAAGCATAGGCACTGAGGACCGGACATGATTGCAGGATGTCCTCTACCTCTAGATATGGGCTTACCTGTTCAATGCACTTCGATCCAGAAATGTTAAATCCAAAACAAGCTGCTCTTTATTCACATGCCACATTCCTGCTGTCAATCATCCCTATGAATATTATGAACATTAGTTAACATGACTTCATTCTTCTAAAGATGTTTTATATTTTCTACAAGTGTTCTTAATGTTCCATCTGAATTTTCTGTTTGCTTTCTAAGCCAGAAGTCTCTGCAGGATTTCATTATGATTTCCTAATGTCAAAGATTCTAGGTTCTTGATCAGATCCATGTGTGCAGACTTTATTAAAATGACTTGACTGATTAAGTTTTGCCCATAAAACATATGGGCACATCATAGACACACCGCATAAAAACTCTAAAAACATACATTTCTCTTTCTATTCCTGCATAATTGTAAGATGAAGCAATATTTTTATGGATATGAACATCATTTCACTAAAAAGTAATATAGAGCCATCAATTAATAAGACATAACCAGCTGGCTTGTAAATTCAACTGTTAAATCTTAATCTCTGATAAACACTCTTGTTTAGACTGCAGACAAAATCCTGCAGGCCCTCAAGTCACCTCAGGTAATGATTAGGCAAGCAGGCATGGTGCTGGACTCTACTTCTTTTGAACTTTGAATACGCTGTTGAAGTCAGGAAGGTGCTACAGGGCTCTGTTGTGCAAAGACAACTGATATAAAACAAAATCATGATTTATTCCCTGTCCATCAATCCCATTCGCAATTTAAGACAGTGATATGGGCTGGAACACAGGAGGCCTCTGAGAACCCTCTCTTAGTGGTATTTGAATCGATGCATTGATGTTTTGGGGATGATAAAAAGCCTTGAACCTGTCTGGTTGTGTATTAGTAGAATATGAAAAGATGGCTGAATGCTGATACTGTGGAAAAATATTGGATTTCTATCTTTTTATGTTGCATGTATGGCGGATGTATCCCTTGTCCAGGACGAAGGCAATTATTGTCGATTTAGTTGCATGAGCAGAAATATTTAAAGGGCCTATATAACTGATAAAAACTTTCAGATTTAACTATTTCATAATGCCATTCTTTCCAAATTATATAAAGTGGTATTTTGCCTCATTTCTGCAATAGAAATCACAAGTCCTGCTGGTTGGAAGCAGCCCCTCTCCATTGTGAATGTTATCGCTGAGAAAAAAAAGCCCCCTTCCTGTAATTAAGAAATAAACACTCCATAGGGATGAATATTTTCGTGATGTTTAATTTGACCTCCATTCTCTCTCAAGCCAAAAACCACTTTTTGCAATAAAAGAGCACAGATGTATAAACATTTTTCCACATACTTTTATTTCCACAGTTCTCCTCTAGCAATTTTTTAACATTATTTTTATTTTATTTTTTTTTACATAAGAACATACTGTTATACACAGATACTGAAGCAGGGGAAAGGTGGTGAGGGAAAGAAGACAAAAACCATACAAAATGGCGTCTACTCAAGCACAACAAAATCTATGTATATAAAACTCTGTGGGTCGCTCCAACCACTACTTCAATTATTCATGTTTTAAATAGATTAATAAAAATACAATCTTCTTAGATGGACCTTTTAAAGTGGGTGGCAAAAATTAGAGATCTAGAGGCATAATGAGGGGGATTCGATAACAATAGTGATGGAGAAATTGTGTTTAGCTTTCAAAGTTTCTCCCTCTGCCTGAAGGGGAAGAAAAAAAAAATATTTTTTTATTTTTAAATGGCACACAGCAACTAGCGGTGGCTACTTTTCACTTGTCACCATATACTTAAACACTCAACATGATCAACAACGGCACAGGATGAAGGAGGAGGAGGAAAAAAAACAAAAAACGGCTTTGTGGTTTTAACACCTTCTCATTCACCTGCCTTCAAAGGAAAAAAAAAACATAAAAAGCTCTCCATGCTGTAGTGTTTCCTAGTTTGACGTGTTTTAGTGGAGAGAGCAAAAGAAAAATGGATGAAGGTGGGAAGGGTTTAGGGCAGTGGAACGGATGAGTCCATGATGAAACACAGTGAGGTGTGCAGAAATCCTGACAGTCAGATGATGCTCAGAGTTTTTAAACCTTTTTAAAGGATTCTTCATTCTGGGGGAACAAGGAGCCCACATGCATGTCTCTTCTGACAGTTCGGCACGGCTGCTGTATCCATTAAACGGCGCTTCACCACACCAACTGAGGATTTTCCAGTTCGAAAGCAGCATGGAGGAGAAAACGGGGAACTGGGACAGATCAACTGGAGTCGAGGAGTTCAGGAATGTTGTGTGCCTTCTGCGTTCTTGTTTTTATTTTCAGTTTCTGATTAACCTGGCCAAGGTGTTGCTGGGCACACTCCACCAGCATCAGAGCTGAGGTCGGGGCTTAGAGGATGGAGCCGTGCACAGAGCGGCCTGTAAAGAGGGGAGAGAGAGATAGAGAGAGAAAAAGAGACAGAGAGAGAAAGAGTTTGGAGCTATGGGTGCTTGGGACCCTGTCATCTATTAGCTGGGAAGTAATTAGGGTCCAGATAGTTGTAGCCTGCACTCTGCGGCAGGCAGTAGTCTCTGTCCAGAAAGGTGTCTGCCTGATAGACCGGTTCCAAGTGGTGGTTAGGTTTATGGGTCTCTGTCTTCAATAAGCTGAGAGAAAAAAAAGGGGGATTTATAAATTATGAGACAACAAAAACCAGCTAGAATTAAAATGAAAATCATTTTAGCACATTCAGTGGAACGTTAAATTATATCAATAGAGATCGCAGCAGGAAATAACATCCAGAGGTCTGACTGCTTGGAAGACAATTAAAAAAATGAAAGGATAAATCAACCATAAAAGTATTGGTAGGTCTGAAGACAAAATAACACAAAACATTTCACACATGACCCTTATTAATGAAAGACGTTGGCTAGATTCATCTGAAATTTGTAAATGTTACACTTTCCAAGAGCAAAACTGGACTGGAGTCATATTCTGTACGATCTTAGAAGGGCTTGTTCATTAAATGCAGATATAAATACTAAAGAATGAAAGTAATAGTAAATTCAATTTTAAAAAATGAAAAATAAAATAAAAAGAGCTTAAAAAAGAATGTAACTATTTAAAAACACTAAAAGAAAATAATATTAAAGAAAAGCATATATGTAATATGATATAATGAGATTTGAAAAACAGGAATCGTAAGTTGTTTATTTGATTTAATATTGTCTTAAAGGAAACAAAATTTTTATACTTAGCAATATAGATTTGCCTGTAAAGCTTTAAGAAAAATAAAAACCTTTGATGTGCTTTGAAGACGTTTAAAGTTTTTACAGATCATCAGTTCTGCACACAGGAAAAACATTTTGTACCTTATCAGATATTTTTTCCCAAAGGCCTCTAGTGACTCAAAAATATATACATTTTATTTCCAGATTCTTTCAAATTTGTTTATTTACTCATCAATCCAGGTAATTTCAGTTTTCTTGTTACTACCTGGTCAATCAACACAGGACTGCTGTCTAAGTTACAAAGCCTCTGATTTCTCACCAGTCTGAGCAGTTGGAGCAGAAGTCAACAGAGCTTTCTGGTGGACAGTCCTGACAGTGCCAACGGACTCCTTGGATGGGCTCCATACCACACACATCGCACTGCCATGCAAGGAAACAAAAAAAACAAAGACGACAGATGGTTAAACTACTGCTTAACAAATGGGCCCAAATATTTCAGCACATATTTCTGCAAATTTACAACCCAGAGAAGTATTTTTAGTCTTTATGTAGAGTCAAATATCCTCTATTTTTAACATATGGTTTGGAATGAAGAAAGGAATATGTTGATCATAAAAAAAACAAAGGTCCAGTTCTCTAACCTTTCATTTCCTGTCTTTCTTACAAGACCGATTTGCTTTAATAAGTTTATTTTTAAATGTGGTCCGTTCCTGCCGACTAAATCAGTAATGTTGAAAGTATTCATTTCCTGATATGTATTGGATGGAGACCACTCTCCATATTAAACCAACGCAGTAGAAAGTTTAATAAGCAATTAACTGAGTAATACAACTACTTTTTTTTCTCTCCATGGCTTCTAGAAAGTAGCCAACATTGCTAATGAGGTGCTGTGTATTCATAGTCATCTGCTCTTATTTATAAAGTTAGGTACATACACATAACTCAAACTGGTCCACTTTTTATTATATTGGCTCCAATCTGCAGTGGAAACTCTATGCATAATGCTAACAAACATAATTGGTGCACAGCAGAGGGGCTCCAGTGATGCATGCTTCAGACATCTGGTTTAACCAGAACTCACAGATGTACCACTAACAGGTTTGATAGTTGCATATTTTCTCTGCATTACTTCACACATCTTGTTTTCCACATCTGCTTTTACATATTTACTATTAATCAATTTACTTCAAAAATGCACCCCTAACATTTGCAACAAAAAAAAACCTCAAATCCCTAAAACCCTAAAATCTGAAAAGTGTGTTGTGCTCCTGCACTGATCCCCCACCCAGAGTCAGTACTTTACAGAACCTTTGCCCCAGAATCAAGTGTTTTTCAGCATCTAATGTATGTTCTTCCAGTGTTGTGCTGTACATCTCAGGAAATTACAATGTTGGGTGAAAGTGCAATATTTTTGGCACTCATGTCATAAATTGTGAAAAGGCTATCTTAAAGAGACTCATTATACAGAGTAAACTATTCCAAGCTTTTAGTTCTTGCAAGTCTGAAGATTATGTCCTACAGTAAAGAAACCTCAAAGAGTCAGAATTAGACCAATCAAAAAGGATGTTTTAGGTACAGTTGTCAAGCCTGTAAGAACCATGTCCATTTCTATGCCTGAATCAGTGCATCAATGCGCCATAGTGTGGAGGCACCGTGTTATGGAAGCCCAGATGTTGCCTTGTTGGTTCTGGTGTCACTTATCACTCTTGAATAAAAACCTACAGATTCCCTATGGGTTCAGGTCAGGGGAGTTTGTTGGCCAATCATAAGAAGTAGGGCTGCAACTAACGATTATTTTAAAAATCAAT